TGTAGCCTCGCAGGCACAAAGTGATAAAAGTTCTTATACAGTTACTTTTTCAAGATATGAAGGCATTAGTGAATATTTTAGGTTGATGGTCATCTTAAGTATTTCTTTTCTCTCCAGGGGTATGCGCGATATCCAGTGGATGAATCTAGATCCAGTCAAGCTGATGGAGGAACTGAGTCAGTTCACTTCACTGGAAGGATTTAAGGAGATGTTGGACAAAGCCCAGGTGCGCCACTGACATACACACTGACATACACACTGACAAATTAAAAAGTCTAATAATTATTTGTTTACTTGCCTACCTGCAAACATTGAGACTTTTGTAATGTTGTTTGATTGGGTAGGTGGGCCATGCTTACATGAACAGGCCTTGTCTAAACCCGGCAGACCCCGACTGTCCTCTTAGTGCTCCCAATAAGGAGCAAGGAGAGGTAAACTCACACGTGCTACAATGCAACTTGTGCCATTATACAGCTGTACGTAGATAAAGACAGTGACACCGAGAACTACAGATATACCTAACATATGTCTGTGTTTTTTTGTTGTCTGTTCTTCTACTTTCCCTCCACTCAGAGTCCTGACATTGCTGGACATCTCCAAGGCGGTTGCCATGGTTTCAGCCGGAAGTTTATGCACTGGCAGGAGGAGCTGATCCTGGGAGGGCGGGTCAAGAACAGCCAGGATACTCTGCTGAGGTATGTGTTTATTAAGACATGTAAAGAAAGAGTGGACACTCCAGTTTTAGGTGATTTTACACAGTATGTCAGCCTGTCCACCATCAGCTTATGAAACACTGTGACTGTTAAATCTGTGTAACCCCTAAAAAACCAACAGACACATGCTGGGAATACGTTAATATGTCATACTGAGAGACATCAGTTTCCTGCATGATCCAGGATAGGCCAGTTTAAGATCACTGACAGCCACATAAAGCCCCCCACCCAGCTTGCTGTACATTTGTTAGGATCAAAGAAGAAATTGAAAAAGGGAAAAATATAAATTCACATTTTTTGAAGGTGACACACAGTAAGATGTTCTTCTACGTTCTGTTTTTATATTCTATGAACTTCAGATGGCTTTAATAGCATGACTTATATAAATGGAGAGATAGCACTAGGTCAGAGCTCAGACCGTTACCCTCACAGCCCCAACAGAGCCTTGAATGAAACAGGATTCCAGTCCCATCTGCAAGAGCCAAACTTACTCTTGAAAGTGATTTATGATCATTTCTTTCACATTTTCAGCAGCACCGCTGCTCACTGTGCCGGTGCCAAGAAAACTCGAGGACATCTGGGATCACAGACAGATGAGATAACACCTGGTTCTGGCTGTTTACATTGGCAGACAGACAGACAGGCAGGCAGGCAGGCAGGCAGGCAGAGAAGAAATGACACCTGCCTTTAGCCATTCACAGAGGCACGCTCCAGAAAGGTTTAGCAATGCCATGAACATCCTAACAGGATGTGCCAGTTGTGACATGGATGACGCAGTTGAGGTTGCTGGACAACTCTGACATCTGCTGTTTACATTTGTGTGTCTTACAGTGCGGAGGCTCTCCAAACCATGTTCCTGTTGATGAGTCCCAAGCAGCTGTATGAGCACTTCAAAGATGACTACGAAATCCATGACATCAATTGGAATGAAGAAAAGGCCACCGCCATCCTTGAGTCTTGGCAGAGGAAGTTTGTGGAGGTGTGAACATAAACACATATTTCATGTATATTCAAATGCGCATGTTTTAAGGAAAAGTGGAGCAGAGATTTTTGTTGTAATAGGAAGTAGGATGAGAAATATGAGGAGGCATTTCCTTGTCCTTTTGCAGGCTCATTTAGCTTTGGTATATGCACACACACACACACACACACACACTGCATGGGCCTGAATTGTCTGAATTCCATCACTCCTCAGGTCCCTTGTAAAGCGAATTTCAGGACAGAGCAGGCCAGTAGGTGTGTGTGTGTGGTAGGCCAATCATCTCTTCCTGTCAGAGCCCTAGTTATAGAAACAAGCTGTTGCTGTGATAGATGACACCCACCACAGTGAGAGCAAGGAGAGAGGGAGGGAGGGAACTGAGGGACATGTGGAAGGAGGGAGGAGGGGCTCAAACGTAATCTGACAGAGGTGCATAGATCTTCCTGATGCAAGGACAAGAAAAGATCTATTTGAGATAGCAAATGGTGATGAAACAAAAACAGGTAAGTAGTGTTTGGGAGCTTTAGTTCATTCATGGCAAAGCTTGGGAAGAGCAGCCTCCTGAGCCATGTGATCTCATCCCTTCCACCTTTGACCTCACAACCTCTGGCATCTGTGCTCATTACTCCTCAGCTGTCATACACACACACATGCACACACACGCTAGCACATGAAAAACACACGTACATGTTCATACTCACTTTCAGATGCACATTTCAGAAGAGACAGGGGACCTTTTCTTTAAGATGTTGGGTTGTAAGAGAGGCTTGTGGTACCATTGGTGGTACTATGTAGGATGGCAACAACAAAGTGCTCCTTGTCTTACTCAGCAGATCAGTCCCTTCCAAGGTATTTTAGTATACTTAACTATCAGTCTCAGGTTTTTATCATCTTCATTCTGACAATCATAAATTCTAGGAATTAGTTGGTGCAGAATACAATTCATAGAGTATATTTATTTACATTTTGGAGAAGCTGATGTGCTGACGTTTGCACAACGTCATGGCCAATCAATTTGTATCCCGTAGGTGGTTCATCAGAGCATCCCAACTAATTCCAGCCAGTCCATCCACGCTTTCTCCACCACCACCCTCAATGACATCATGAAATCTTTTTCCGACGTCAGCGTCATCAGAGTGGCCGGAGGCTACCTGCTCATGGTGAGTGTATTAACAATTCAAGTCTGACTAATCAGTTAAAGAAACATATTCATCTTTACTGTAAAATGACTATGTAATATGGATGTCTTTCCTCTAGCTGGCCTATGCCTGTGTGACTATGCTAAGGTGGGACTGTGCTAAGTCCCAGGGAGCCGTGGGGCTTGCTGGGGTGCTGTTGGTGGCTCTGTCAGTGGCTGCAGGGCTGGGTCTCTGCTCACTGCTTGGCCTCTCCTTCAACGCTGCCACCACACAGGTATAACACAAAGGGAATAACATACAGTGCATTTTATAGGCCAGATTTTGATGTCACACAGTTCAGTTGTTCAATCTGACCCTTTGGTCTCTATTCATGTGCTTCCCATCCCAGGTGCTTCCCTTCCTGGCACTAGGGATTGGTGTGGATGACATGTTTCTCTTGGCTCACTCCTTCACAGAAACTGGAAGCAACATCCCCTTTAAGGTACCTTTAAGATTCTCCTCTCATCTCCTTTCCTCTCTTTCTTCTCCCTCTGACTTGTGCCTGTGTTTGTTTTAAAGGAGCGCACAGGAGACTGTTTGCGTCGCACCGGCACCAGTGTGGCTCTGACTTCCATAAACAACATGATTGCATTCTTTATGGCCGCTCTCATACCCATCCCTGCCTTGCGAGCTTTCTCTTTGCAGGTATGTATTGCACATGTACACAATCGCACCCCGAGAGGCCTGAGGCTCATTTGAAAATGAAAGAGATAACTTAAGAGAGATGACATTTATTCAGATCAACGAAATCCTTTGTTCCCAGTTTTATTGCCACTGCACCTACAGGGCCAACTTTTTTGAGTGTGGATGTGTATATGTGCATAACTGTGTGTGTGTGTGTGTGCGTGCGTGTAAGGTGGAATAATCAGAGCAAAGAGAGTGATGAACTGACAGAGAGAGGCAGACAGGGAGAGAACAAGAGCCAGGGAGGAGTGGATCAGTATATCACTGGCCCGTCAGGGCGGTTTGCTCTGATCTGTGACTAACCGTGGGTGGTCCCAAACACACAAGCACCCACACAAATACACACACATAGGTGTACACACACTGGAAACCACAGCCAGCCAGAATGTCAGCTTCAGGGGCTGGAGGGAAAGGAGGGGGACAGCAGTGGCGGTGATGAATGGTGATAGTCTTGCTCATTTGCTCAGACTCGCAAGCTCCTTCTTTCTCTCATTCCTTCTCGTGGTTCTTTCTTTCTGGCACTCTTTTCTTCCTTTTTACACTGCCTCTCTCTCCCCCTCCCCTCCTGACTTGCTTAGTATTCCTGGCTAGTGATTTAGAGTAAGGCTTTACTTTCTGGGCTGTGGTCTGAGACACTAAAAAAGAGAGAAAGAGAGAGAGACTTGACTCTACCCAGCTGGTGTAGGGTATCTATAATTTCACAGTGTTGTGTTTCTCTTCTCACTTTGTTTTTGTCTTTTTTTTCTCTCTGTCTGTATTTCTCTCCCTAGGCAGCCATTGTGGTTGTGTTTAACTTCACCATGGTGCTGCTCATCTTCCCCGCCATCCTCAGTTTGGACCTCCACCGGCGTGAGGACAAGCGTTTGGATATCCTCTGCTGCCTGTACAGCCCCTGCTCTGACCGGGTTATCCACCTCTCTCCTCACGAGCTGTCGGACACCGGAGAGCAGCCTCACACGCCGACAACAGCAGCGGCGCACACACACCAGTACGCTGCAGCATCCACGATCACCACCAGCACTCAGATCACCACCACAGTGCAGGCATTCACACAGTGCGACGCAGCAGGACAGCACATTGTTACAATCCTACCACCTACCTCACAGATCTCCACTAGCCCACCCTCCATCATCCTCTGCCCCACTTCCCAGGCCCAAGGTAAATAAAGCTATTAAGTTTCCTACAAATTTTTTGCAAAAATTCTTTTTTATATTCAGTTTTTAAATCAATCATGCTGCCAAAACATTTATTTGCTGCTTATATTTTCTGCCTTTAGCCATCACACCATCCACCACCACAACCTCAGTGCTGGATCCCTATGGCTCCCAGCTCTTCACTCCTACCTCCAGCTCCACACGGGATCTCTTAGCCCAGGTGGAGGAGTCCAGATCCAGAAAGAAGTGTGTCCCGCTCCCATTCCTGCGCTGGAATCTCTCCAGCTTTGCCAGGGAGAAATACGCACCTCTACTTCTCAAACCTAAAAGCAAAGCCATCGTTGTGGTGCTGTTCCTGGGCCTCTTGGCCCTCAGCTTGTACGGGACCACCATGGTGCATGACGGCCTCTACCTGACTGACATCGTGCCACGTGACACCAAGGAGTATGATTTCATAGACGCCCAGTTCAAATATTTCTCCTTCTACAACATGTACCTGGTGACCATGGATGGGTTCGATTATGCTCGGTCACAGAGACTGCTGATCCAGTTGCACAACGCTTTCAACTCTGTTAAATACGTGGTCAGAGACAGCAACAACAAACTCCCCCGCATGTGGCTGCATTACTTCCAGGACTGGCTCAGAGGTGAGAATTCAGGCTCAGTAATGTTATGATTTGAATGAGTCCGGTAATAACTTTCCCCCAGAGGGTTTTTGATAATGACGTCAGAATCAAGCAGATGGTGCGGCAGGTTTTTTCAGGTGTTACTAAGGATGGTAGTCGGTCGGTGTGCGTGAGGGTGAGAATGTGTGAAAGGTGAGCAAAAGTTCAGTTGGACTGTGTAGCCCCATCCACCTGGGCTCGGGGGCGGTGCAGTAGGCGGATTGAGGTTTTAGATTATCTTTGCGTGTGTGTATGTGTGTCCTCAGGCTAGGACGTGTCAGAGGCCCAGTGAGGAGGAAGTAATAGCTAACAGATCAATCAGAGCCAGCTGTGGGGGGAAAAAAGAGGGAAAAAGAAACTTGATATTTCACAGTTTCACCATCACTCCCCACATAGACAGACATGCAGGAAATTTTTATGATAATAGGAATCATAATATTTATAAATGCCAACCACAATCATTCTCTCTGTTCTGTGTGTGTGTTTTGCCTCACATGTAGGTCTTCAGGCCGCTTTTGATGCTGACTGGCAGGCAGGCAGGATTAATGCTGACAGCTATCGTAATGGCACAGAGGACGGAGCTCTGGCATACAAGCTCCTTATCCAGACCGGTTCCAAGAAAGATCCCTTTAACTACAGCCAGGTACTGTGAGAATAGCTGCAAGAAAAAGAGTGACTATAAAAGAGAATGCACATCCTTTCTATGACAAGGAGTGTGGTATGGTGGATGAAAAGTCAGTGAATGATTGACTCTCGTTTCTCTTTAGCTGACGTCTCACCGCCTTGTGGATGCAGAGGGTCTGATCCCCCCGGAGGTGTTTTACATTTACTTGACAGTTTGGGTCAGCAATGATCCTTTGGGTTATGCTGCCTCCCAGGCAAACTTCTACCCCCATCCCAGAGAGTGGATTCACGACAAGTATGACGCTACAGGGGAGAATCTGCGCAGTAAGTATCATACGTTATCTGTATTGTTTCAGAAAGAGTAGACACACCTCAAAAATGCCTTGCAGTACAAACAGCACATGATCTGATCTCAGATCTCATCCTTGCTTTCAGTCCCAGCTGCAGAGCCCTTGGAGTTTGCTCAGTTCCCCTTCTACCTGAATGGCCTTCGCCAGGCCAATGACTTTGTAGAGGCCATCGAGAGTGTGCGGGCTGTCTGCGATGAGTTTAGCCGTAAGGGTTTGTTCAACTACCCAAACGGATACCCTTTCCTGTTCTGGGAGCAGTACATTGGCCTAAGACACTGGTTCCTCCTGTCGATCAGTGTCGTGCTGGCCTGCACCTTCCTGGTCTGTGCAATTCTCCTGCTCAGCCCGTGGACGGCTGGTATCATTGTAAGTCAACAGTCAGTTATTCTTCATCATGTCCTCCTCTTTTGATCCTTCCTGCTTTTTCATCTTTGCCTATTTCTGTCTCATTTTTCCACCTCATCCTACCTCAACAACATCATTAGCCCTTTTCCTCCCTCTCTTCTTTCTCTCACTGTCTTCTCACCCTTCTCACCACAGCTCAATAACACTGTCTAGGGGGCCCCTTTTTCTCTGTGGAGGGCCAGTATGCACACACACACACTGGGACCTTTGTAATTCTAATGTAGGCTGGGCTGGCCTTAGAAAAGGAAATGCAAAGGAGCAAGAAAGGCTTTGCCCTCCTGAAGCCTCTACCTCCAACTCCCTCACTGCCTTTGTCAGAAGGAGAGGGAGAGACTCAGGGACAGGACAGATCTGCCCAGTTGCGACCTTGGCCTGCTTAGCCCATCCATCAGGGATATGTGTGTGTATGTGAGCTTGTGTGTGTGAGAGTGAAAGAGACAGTCTGAGTGTTCAGCAGTTGGAAAACATTTCACACACAAGGTGGTGGGACTGGTGGTCATTACGGGCCCCCCAAACTCACACACATACACAGATTCACATATCCCAGACCGCTGGGGCACGGGGGTGGGCCTGAAGTGTAGCACAACAACAGTGTTAGTTTCAACTGGAATGTGTTTAATTTAAGTAGCAGCCCCTAGCAGCTCTGATTGAGACAGCGACACACTGTCCTCAGACACAGAGAGTGCTACATTGCATGTGTCGTTTCCAAGCATCAGCCTGCCTGTGAAGGTTTTTCCCAGTCTCTATGTGGTCGAGCAGTAAAACAGCTTTTATCATTCTCAATTTAACCGTGCCCCAGCTCGGAGCCCCTGCTGGGATCAAAAGCTCTCATTGGCCGGGGCCCATTCTCTCCTCCTTGTTGTGGTTGTTTGTATTGCAGTTTACGGTAACATCACACATTTAAGATGGTCTTATATAGCGCTTTTTTAATGCTTTGCAGCACACTCACACTCTTTGGCCCTTTACACTCCCAAACACTCACACACCGGTGACATCACCGGGATTGGACAAGCCAGAAATTGAACCACTAATTTTCCAGTCAGGAGACAACCCGCTCTACCTCCTGAGCCACAGACATCAGTAAACTCAAACACCGCATTAATAAGATGTTGCATTAAAATGTTGGAAACAATAAAATAAGCAATACAGGCTGTTATGTTGTGAAAAACTAAAGAATTTGTTTTCCAAAAACAGAGAGATGTGTACATGAGTATGGGGTTATGGGAGTGGCACAGTACCCGCTCTCTGTTGTTTCAGGCACTGTCAATCATTTCAACTACCTCTGGGAAGGAAGAAGAGAATTTAAAAAAAAAAGGGGGGGGGTTAATCAGCCTAAGGGTGGGGAATTTAATTTCATGTGGTTGAAATGCTGAACACTGTGTCAAAGTTTGTGTGGGGTGAAGAGGCAAAAGGCCACAACTCAGTCGCTAAGGAACGACATTCACTTTTATTGTTTCCATCCTTTTGTTTTTGTTTCACTATTTACTTGCTTGTTTCCATATCATTCAAGATGAAAACAGTTTTTTTGCAACTCTTTCTTTGCATGGCTTTTTTTTCAGGTGTTTATCTTGGCCATGATGACAGTGGAGCTGTTCGGTATCATGGGTCTGATTGGCATCAAGCTGAGCGCCATCCCTGTGGTCATCTTGATTGCCTCTGTGGGCATCGGAGTAGAGTTCACTGTTCACATTGCACTGGTGAGTCAGCACACACAGCAAGCGCACACATGTTACTGCCTGTGAGATACTATACGCTAACATGTGACTACATTAGACTTAATATGGTCTACAAGCTGTAATCAAATATTTTAATAATTATTGATTAAATTTATTTGTTTCACTACAAAGATTTATTATAAACTATAAGCATAAAGCTCTGACTCCTGTGGCTTCATGCCTGAAATGGAAAATTATTAAGGTAAAATAAACGAGATTAAAGATTTACTAGGAAATGTTTGGGCTCCTGATTCATGCTGGCAAATTTAAACCTGCACAGTGTACTTTCTTGTAGTGTAGTGTAGCACTCCCTATCCAACCAAACGCAGGAATTCATAAGTGTGCCAAGCCTTGCCACAAGCACAGGTTTTGTGTGTGATCGGCAAGATTTGTAACTTATTTCTCTTTCCCCCTTTCCCTCCCTCTCCGCCGCAGGGCTTCCTGACAGCCATTGGCAACAGAAACAAGCGCTCGGCGGTGGCTCTGGAGCACATGTTTGCCCCGGTGGTTGACGGAGCGATCTCCACACTGCTGGGCGTTCTCATGCTGGCAGGGTCAGAGTTTGACTTCATCATGAGGTGAGATGCTGTCCGTGTGCATCTGTATGTGTGTAGCTTTGTATGCATGCTTTTAATAAGTCATGCTAACTTTGAGCTTGTGTGTGAGAGAGTGGCAGCAATGGTCTCTACACTCTCCACAGTCCCTATGTTATCTTTCAGCAGCAGCAGTGTTTTGGTTTTACACCGCTAATGTGTTAACGTGTGCACAAGTATGTGTGGAAGCAGTTATTTAGCCTCACCCAGGGAGGAAGCCTTGTGGGAAGTCATGGGTGCAGGTGGAAATGTTATACCCCTATTTATGCACACACCCATGCACACACACACACACACAGTGTGACAAATATTCACCTGGTTCTGTCACTCTGAGCACACACACGTCCATCTCCTCAACCTCAGAGCACAACAAATGGGGAAAACACCAAGGGTGTGTAAGCAGCTGCTCGTAAACATGGAAGTGTTCTGCTACCGAGTGGTGTCTCTCTCTCACACTCACTGTCTCTTTCACACACACAAACACACACAGGGGAATCCGTAAAAATTCCTATCATCCGTTTAGCATTCTCTCCCTCCATGTCAGGTGCTGTCATAAAAAGCAGAGCTAAATTTGATCCAATCTCAAAGTCAGATGGTCTGAAGTCCACCAACAGACATCACTCCTCTGCATGTGTTTATGTGTGTTTGTACTTGCTACATAGTGAGGACCAAAAATGTCTTTTTTTGATATAGAAAGAGGACATTCTGGCTTGTCCACCCTTTCTGAAACAGGTTTTTGAGGGTTAGGACTTGGTTTTAGGGTTCAGCTTAGAATCAGGTTTAGGTTAGGGTTATGGTTAGACATTTAGTTGTGATAGTTAAGGACAGGGTAAGGGGCTAAGGAATGCGTTAAGTCAGTGAGTGCCCTCACAAAGATAGAAGTACAAGTATGTGTTTGTGTTTTCTACCATTGCTTCATGGCCAGAGTGGAAAAAAGGCGAATAGCTCGCTGTTTTTCAGGCGAATGTGGTCTCGGCCCAAACCCGAAACCACAACCTTGAGCTCACAGACTGCACCAGGCCTCCATGACATAAAAAGCACCGTTTTTCTGCAGAAGAGAGGAGGAGAAGTACTCTCAGGGTGGTTTCCTTGCAAGGATATGAGGCCCTGGTGGGTGGGTAGATGGATGAATGGATCCTCCACAATGTTGGACTGGAAAGATAAAGAGGTGCAGATATATAGGAACAGAAAAAAAGGGAAATAATAGGAAGTTAGATTGGGATTAAGGGAGTCAGAGAGACAGCATCTTGTTTTTTGTCTTGTTGTATGAGAGATCACTTTCCGAGCACAGAGTGAAAAAGATAAACTGATGGGTTTGTTGTCTCTGTTGGAGGTCTTGTTTAGCTGTAGCTATAGCTGTGGTCAGGTGAATGGGGCAAACCAGAGCTGGCTAGCTGGGGAGTAGCATAAATATACTGCTGTAAACATCTCCTGGCCTTGTAATGCACTGAATAAACAGCAGGCCTAATTCAGTTCTGCTCAGGGTCCTCACACACACACATACTCACACACAGGTAGTATACATGCACACACATGTGAGCCACACATGCACGCACACACGCACGTGGAGAAGTG